TTATACACCGTGAAAAGATGAAAAAACTTACTGACGTTTCGGACGCTAGTCCTTCGTCGGAGTAAAAGAGAAAGAAGTGGTAGAAAGGAGTGTATGCAGTGTATTCAGTATGCAGTATTCAGTATTCAACCTTTTTTGAAATAGCTGTTTAAGCACATCAATTGGAAAAACCCTAATCTTAACCAACAATTAAATTATGTTAAGCTATTAACTATTAATATTTAGTTGATTTRGTTTTTCCTAAGGTCATTTACACACTTATGCACATTTTCACATGTGCAAGATCCATGYACAGTATAACCAACCGCACTCTCTCTTGTAAAGTTATACTGAAGATGATGTGGGAACGTCTAAACATTTATATTAAAAGTGTCATTTTATTTCTCWAAATATCCTTGTTTCAATAAAGCTAGTAACCTAGACTTTATTAATTTGCATATAAACTACAAAATTTATGATTTAATAATTATTGATTCTTCAGGTTGGAATCAGCGCAGCACCCCAGAAGGCTATGTCGGCAGTAAGGAACTTAAGTCCAAACTTACAAAACTTAACCAAAAGCAACTTAAGTCTTCCCTCCATGCCCTCCCTACCRCGTGGCATTAACTTACCTTCATTATCCAATTTTAAATCATAGATTAATAATAGATTAATATTAAGATTAGAAACATCAATAGTCATCAATGAAATCGAAAATATAGGGGAAAAAGCTATTTTTCAAAAACAATATGTGGAGTGGGATCCCTGTGTAGGCGAATGAACAAGAAAACTGGAAACTAGTAAGTCACAATTACTGGTTACYAGTCTACTTTCTAACACAGCCTACCCAAATCAAAATCTAATWACTAATTAGTATAGTAATGTATGGACATAACAAGGTTCATAAAATATAATAAGGAGCCTGAGAACTATACTTAGAGAATATAGGTGTAGTTGCCAGGCCTTCTCTTTCCTTGAATTACACAGAAGTCCCAATTTACAATTTCATGGTCATGTGATTTTGACATGGAAATAATTATTACTTTTGTGATGTACTAGCTGTAATTAGTTGGGTTTTATATAAAATGGAAAATCATAACTTTCTTCTTTTTTTTTGCCGCCAAAAAAAGGCTTACTGTAAATTCCCTATTTTCAATGATCGTAGACTTCGTCAAGTCTGGAAGTGAGTACGTGATGTACGCAGAGATTCACAATGATAACTAATAACAAAGAAATCCATATACCCTCACCTTAACGGTCTTATATACAAAATCTGATGTTTCTCAATCAAGAATTCATTATTTMCACCCTTTTTGGCAACGACAGAAAMATTCCATTTTGCGATATTTTAAAACAAAGCGCACTTCCGCTTGGCGCGCCATTTTGTCAAAATTATTTCAAAACATATATAATTAACAAAATACAATGCAACACATCCTAAACTATTATGAAGCCCTAATATAAGAATTTTTGTTTTGACTTTTCAAGTAATTCAGAGCCAAAAGCCTAAAATCTAGTTGAATTTTAATTTTTATTGCTTCTGGCTTCAAACGGTAGCTCTTAAAGRTAAATAAAAATGGTTTATTTACAAAACACTTGATTTTAGAAATCTTTTCGATTAGAGGCAGGTAATAAATTCTTCAAAACGCTCCAAAAAATGCTATTTACTTCCGTTCAACTCCATAATTAATTTTTTTTCCTAAGATAAGCCTTTAAAAAATTGAAAAATATCTCGAATCCAAAGCGACCGCTATCGTTTCATCGAAACTACTTCAGAAACAAAAACAATCTTCTGGTCGTGTCTTTTCTTGTTAGATAACCTAGGCAGCATGAAAAAATACGATATGCCCCCCCCAAAAACATTAATATTCCACTTTATTTCAAGAGCTAGAGAGTTCTGACCACTTGAATAGGTCTCTTCGTTGTTTTGTGAACGCGACACAGTTGTCCTCGCAAYATTCTGCTCTTCTGGCTTCAAAAAAAGCGGCAAGACTTCAAATAAATTCGTCTAAAATCGCAGAATTTCAAGGTAAGATAGAACAAATGGGAATCCTTTTCGAAAGATGATTTCAAGAAGACATTAACTGGGATTTTTATGAAATTATCGCTTGACAAATTAATGTGGAAATGCTTTCTTTTATTTCTTTGTCATTAAYGACGTTTTTAGATAAATTTTGTCAGCTTGCACTATGAATGGTTATACATTACTTTGATTTTATTTTTGATGGTTTTGAATAGCCTTGTCTTTGGGCATTTGTACATTTGTTGRTAACGTTTAGGTTACACTCGATTTTCCCGCTATTCGTTGTGGGAACATATACGAAAACGGAGGAGGAGAATCTGAAAAAATGTTGAATGGATGAAAGAATTAACGAGCGAATAAATGGACTGTGAATGAAAGAATGTGTGAGTTGGCGTAGACAGGAATGATGGAATGTAAGAAAAATGGGAGAAGGGAAAAGAAAAGGAAAGGAAAGAAGAGATAAGAAAGAAAGGAACGAAGAAAGAAAGAAAGAGAAAATGAACGAAAGAAGAAAGGAAGGTAGGAAAGAAAGAGAAAATGAACGATAGAAGGAAGGTAGGAAAGAAAGAGAACATGAATGAAAGAAGGAAGGAAAAAAAAGAAAGAAAATGAAGGAAGGAAGGAAAGAAAGAAAATGAATGAAAGAAGGAAGGAAAATAGAAGGAAGGAAAGAAAAAAAGAAAGAGAAAATGATAGAAAAAAAGAAAGAAAATTACATCAAGCATGGCTCATACCCGACTTACCGACTCTAATACCCTGTCTTCCTGTCTGACCGCAGACTGGCTGCCCCTCACAGATAGTCTTWCATGCTGCATGTCTGACATTGCAAAAATGAACTCTGACAAAGTTAAACCAACAAATGGATTCCATACCTGAGGGGATTCCGGAATTAAAGCAATAGCTTTCAGTCAACACTACAGTTACACCGCGGTTAGGTCATAATTAATTGAGGTTAGATAATAGATTACTCGCGACCGGCAGTTAATTCGAAATATAAAGCGCGCAAACTTTAACTAGCCTGCGTCACATCCGGAATTTTTTTCCAGATGTGAAAGTGAAAGAACGTGGAAAGGGCGAACAAAAAAAAAAAAGAAAAAAACACTTTCCTTAATTGAAATTTTTACCCATTTTCCTAATTCGAAATTTTTGAATGATCCGAAGAAGTTTTTTAATGGGAGAACCAAAGGGAAAGAGAATTAGATCAGTTTATTTGACATAAACACAAAGCAAAGGGTTGATATGATTTAGGCGGGAGAGGAAGGGACCGATGTCTAGCACACTTTTAATAACTTGAGACTTGAGTTTTTTTGTTTCTTTGTTTCTTTGTTTGTTTGTTTGTTGTTGTTGTTTTTTTTTGTTTGTTTTTGTTTTGTTTTTTGTTGTTTTGTTTTTGTTTTTGTTTTGTTTTGTTTTTGTTTTTGTAGGAAATAGCCTATTCAGCAATGACTGGAAACCACGTTTTTTTTATTAAGAATTTCACTCCGAGCATGAATGCCCCTGGACCTCTTCTGGTTTTGTATTGCATAGACCGCGGAATTTTAWTCCCAGCCATTTCAAATTCTATTTCTACGAACCGATGAAACGATGACGTCATTAATAGAATAATAATAATAATTGTCTTTTCCCTCATCCTGCTCCATTTATATTAGGATCCGTTCCTCTAGATCACCTTGTCATCCTCAGTGTAATATTAAATTGGATAATAATGATATATAATTTTTCTCCCTTCTGTTCAGTTGTTTTTAGCAGTTTCTCCTTCCTAACTCCCCTTAGGATCCGTTCCTCTAGATCACCCTGTCATCCTTAGTGGCGATCCAGGATTTTAAAAAGCTGGGGGTTCCGCGCAGAAAATAAGCTGGTAAGATTGTCTTCACAAATCTAGCGCAAGCAGGTGCTTGATGACGGCAGTACTCGTCTGCTTATTCTTGCTTTAAAGTAAATGGTTTGAACSCAGGTCATTTGTAAAGTGTGKTCGTCCGTGTGAGTGTAGTCTCCAGGAATGCTGTTGGTGGTGATTGACGTACGTTTCGACAACCTGAGCGGAAGTGGTCATCTTCAGAACCCGTGAGAAAATGAAAGATAGTCGATGTCCGAGCGCTCAGGTCTGTCGAAGCGTCAGTCACCWMCAACAACAGTCTTTCTCAAGACTACACTSAYCCGGACAATMTCGCTCAACAACATACATTCTCGATTCCTTTAAGTCCTATGTCGCCCTCATGGAATACTACTTCTGGTCTACATCGATCTTATCGCCCTGATAATCCACTCCAAGTAGTCCATCAATGAAAATATAATTCCACATACAATCTCGAGATAATGGGATTTACTGGGCAAGAAAGATATGAGGTTACTAGCTTTGAATTATGATTCCAGCGTTTTTAGGATTTTTGGCTCTCAGAGATTACCGAAATAGTCCGACGCCTGTCAATGGGGCGCGCATTTTAACGTTTTTAAAGCTCATCTGTCTACGCCCCTGATAAAGTAGCTCGCGCACGTCTTTCCGTTTGGTAGTATCGACCTCTAAGCATAAAGATATCAAYGGATTATGGCTTTGCAGGGAGCATTTGTTGTGATAGTTGAATAGCCTGAGCTGATACAATAGTCATTATCGGACCACCACGTAAGTTGTGTGTACTCTT